TATCCCAGCACATTTGAAATCTTTCCCCCTTCCATTTCGAGCTTTCCACATTTAAAATTAATTAGAAGTGGAAAAATGTATTCTTCATTTAACTGTGCTATGTGGGAGCGCTTTGGGACGTCTTCCCGACTGAAAGGCGTTATACAAATGTAATTTGCTGTTGTTGATGTCAACACTTGCATCCTTCACTTTAGTGTAAATTTACCAAAAAGTTATGCTTAATTAGTAATTCTCTGCTGCAGAATTTTCTAAGTTTGATGTGACTGCTCACAGCTGTTTTTAAACATAGATAACACTTTTTTACATAATTGATATTCTAAGAGTTGTCATGAAACAGTGTTGAGTTTTTCTATTATCACCTCCTTATTTAGATTAGAGATTTATTGTAATCAACACCATATAACATTTGTGCAATTTAGCCACTGGTATTAATTTTGTCAGGCTTTCTTTTATGACTTGTAAATTTGTCAAGTGAAAAAAAAACAATTATTCCTTACCATTTGAAATAAGCAAATCAAAAAAAGATTACTGTAGTACTCTTCACAAGCACAGCATTGTGCTCAGTCACTGTCAAGCGTTCTGCATGAGGGGCACTATATAAATGCAAGTTGTTCTTTACTGTACAGTTTAGTACAGTAGTCTAGTATTACATTTTAAACATGTACAATTACAATTGTGCAGCCCAAAAGGCCACCGCCCGATAGGATATTCCATATCCTTACTGCTCTGAGCGTGAAAGAAATACTCCTAATCTCTCCGTTTGCTCTTTGCTAACAAAGTCGGCAATCCTTCTGTGTTTATTTTGCTTATAATCATAATAATAATCCTTGCATTTGGTATAGTGCCTTATTACGTCTTCAAGACAAAGCGCTTCACAGAATATACTGTAAAGTGTAGTTACTGTGTATTTTGTGGGAGAGACCCAGCAGCCAATTGTGAACAGCAGCTATAATGTGGCAACTGAGATTGGAGCCAGATGACCATAGTTTTGAGTTGTTTAGGCTGTTTTATGAATGAAGCACAACTCATGTGTTACTTCATCAACACTAACTTTTTTTAATTATACAATTACTGTATAGAAAATCCAGACAGACTGAGGTGATATTGCACATTGTCAGTTAATTTTAGTTACATTTGTTTTGTTCCACCTTGTTTGTTTCCTGTATATGTTGAGCACCATGGCTAAAGATGGCTGTTATTTTTAGTCACGTCGCCATCATTTTTGTAAGGTGTTCTGTAGATTTGTTGCTTATCGGAGTCCTGTAGCTCAGTGGTTAGAGCACTCGCTTTGCGAGCGAGAGACCCGGGTTCAATTCCAGGCAGAGGGCGAAACCTCGGGCAAGTTTCCTTACTCCACACAGAGCCTAATAACAATCCCTCCAAAACCAAAAACAATAATAAATTGGTCATTTTCAATCCACGACTGTTTGTGGGGACGCTGCTGTGCGCAATTGGCTGCCGCGTTTTGTCCACAAATATACAGTCAATTCACTTTACTGAATATTCTGTGAAGCGGTTTGAGACGTCGAGAAGACGTGAAAAGCGCTATATCAAATGCAAGGATTATTATTATTTTTTTCTTATTGTAGCTTAACATTAACTTCTCCCTGGTTAATTTGAAGCATTGCATCCCAAGTTGAAATTACTTGTGGAGTCCTGTATTGTACTGGTTAGAGCAGGCGCCTCGCAAGTGAGAGGACCTAGCTTTGATTCCCGGGCAGGGCGAAACATTATTGCTCGGAGAAAAAAAAAAAGTCAAATTAAAGTTGGGAGTCATCCAAATATAGAAATGGACCCCATACCTGCAGATAGTGTCATGGGGGTGGGGTTAGTGGGTTGCGGAGAGAGTATGTAGATCAGGAAAAGAGAGGACCGACAATAGCGAGAATATTATTACACTTAAAAGACAACTGCAACACTGCTGTAGGTTTTTCAGTAAATACATTTCAAGAACTCTTTTGAAAATTAGAAACAGCTCTTAAAATCACTCTTCACTCATGGTTATGTGTGGGTGTTGCAAACAAAATTTTGAAAATTACTTCAGGGCAAACTGAATAGTGACTTCACCTACAATACTCTGAATCATGAATGCAACTTTAATCTTAAAGTCAATACCCATTTCATGTTTACATAGCCTATGTTTACAATTTAAGTAAAAGGCTAACAACACGCTTCAACACGGGACAATGCTTTCCTCCTTGTTCATATGTTTATGAACAATTACAATTGTTTTTCTCCTAAAGAGACTCTGCAAACATTTGCAAACATTTTCATAAATGGCAAAACGCTAAAAGGGAATTTGTCCAAACGTGTCCAAAGAATAATAAATCAACATCTAATATTGCCACAAGTAGAAATAAATAAATGCAATGTTACTCTGGAAGTCTGAATTCCACCTAGAGTAGCCTGTAAATGTTCTCTACACTTTCTCCCAAAATAGAAAGGTGCTATAGGAATAATCCTTATATTTAACATAGCATCTTTTTGTGTGGGGAAGGACTCCTCAAAGGCCTTCACAGGATATATATAAGAACAAAATAATTGCTTGATGAAAGGAGATCAAGGTCCATTCAGTTTGCCTTCCACCATCCTGGCAGTCGCATGTACATGTCATGTCCCAAACTATATAATAATCATTGCATTTGCATTTGATATAGCACCTTATCACGCCTTTGAGACATCTCAAAGCGTTTCACAGAATATTTTGTAAAGTGAATTGACTTGTGTATTTATTGTGGGTGAAATGCGGCAGCTAATTGCACACAGCAGTGTCCCACAAACTGTTGTGGATTGAGTGACCAATTTATTATTAAAAGCGATCCACCAATCGACTAACAACCAGGTTCCTACTTACTGCTAGGTAAACAGAGGCATACGAAACAAGGAAACTTGCTCAACGTTTTGCCATGCTGTAAATCGAACCCAGGTCTTCTCGCTTGCGAGGCGAGTGCTCTAACTATTAAGCTACAGGACTACACAATTTTATTTCCTAACAGATCTATCTAATTTGTTCTTGAAAGATACAACGATGTGCAAAACTGTGTAAGTGTATCTTGTGCGGCGTTCCTCAGGGCTCTGTCCCTGGTCCCCTCCTCTTCAATATCTATATGCTCCCTCTTGGTGACATTATTCGCAGACACAGGATCAACTTCCACATGTATGCGGACGACACCCAACGCTATCTCTTTGCCTCCACCCTCAAATCCAGGGTTATTGCTGTTCTGACAGAATGTCTGTCAAGATTCAAGTTCTGGATGAAAGCTAACTTTCTTCAGTTGAACGTCAACAAGATCAAGGTCCTCTTGATTGGCTCCCGTCAGCACCTCCACAGTTCAGGCGCTGACAGCATCACCATCCAAGGATGCACACTCCACCACACTGAGCCAGTCCAGAACCTTGGCGTCCTGTTTGAACCTCAACTATCCTTTCTATCCCTCATCCGTGCCATGACCCACTCTGCCTTCCCCCACATCTGCAACATCGCCCGGGTCTGTCACTGTCTCACACCGCAGGCTGCCAAAACTCACATACATTCATTCACAAGATCCAGGTTTGACTATGCAAACTCCCTGATTGTCGGCCTCCCCAACTCTTCCTTCCATAGGCTGCAGATCACCCAGAACTCTGCAGCCTGTGTCTTCTCCCACACCAGGCTCCATGACCCAATCAACCCCATCCTCACCTGACTCCACTGGCTTCGCATAACACAGAGAATATAGTTCCAAGATCCTGGTCCTCACCTTCAAAGCCCTCCGTGGCCTTGCTCCCCCTACCGCTGTGATTCTCTACCAACCTGCCCGCTCCCTCCGCTCAGCAGGCTCCAGCCTTCTTCACGTCCCCCACTTTGCCTGCACCACTGTTGGTGGGTGGGCCTTCAGCCACTCTGCCCCCTCCCTCTTTAACTCCATCCAGCAGTCTCTCAGCCATTCCCCTTCCTTGCCTCCTTCAAGACATGTCTCAAGACCCTCCTCTTCAACTGTGCCTTTGATCACTCTCCTTCACCCCCTGCCCTACATCCACCCCGACCCCAAACCCCAGCTCAGGTCCGAAACACTGTGTGTCCAGCGACTTGGGTCATCCCCCTGATGTGAAAGGCGCTATACAAATGTCATTTTGTTGTTGTTGTTAGCTGAATGAAATGCAAGGGACATTTTTAAACCCTCAGATTTTTTTGGGGGTGGGGGGGGTGGTGGGGGGAGGAATGCCGGGCTGGGCACAAGGAAATACACATACATACACCCACAGACACACAAACGCTGAGCAAGATTACTCCTGCTCACAATGCGAGGGCGGGCGGGCGGGCAGAGAAAAAAAACTTTTTAAGAGGAAAAGCATTCCGGGACGCTAACCCGCAGAAGTTCCTCAGGGCTCTGACCTCGGGTTCCCCCCTCCTCTTCCAACATCCATAAGCTCCCTCTCGGTGACACTATCCGCAGACACGGGGGTCAAAGCTCCACATGCGTGCGGATGACACCCAACTCTATCGCTTCGCCTCCGCCCTCGACTCCAGGGCCACTGCTGTCCTGACAGAATGTCCGTCGGACATCCAGTCCTGGATGGGCGCTTATATAAATGCAAATTGCTGTTGAAAAGTGAATGAACGCCCAACAGGGAGTGGAGTGGGTGGGGGGGTGGGGGGGAGGGAGGGGGTGGTGGAATTATTCGCGCACGCGCAGTATCTCCCGTCTATCTGTCGCTCGGGGACGCACACTGGCGCCTGCGCACATGGAAGGGTTGGAAGGGTGTGCGTGCGCAGGCGCGCGCGATCCCACGCACGCGCAGTACCTCCCTCCCTCTGGCGGCGCACGTTTCCCCCCCCCCCCCCCATCCCATCCTCCCCTCCCCAGACGCGCCTGCGCACACGCACGGGAAGCTCGAGCGAGAGGCTGGAGAGCCCCACGCGCGCGAGCGCGCGCGTCACCGCGCACGCGCAGTTGGCACACCCAGGGCGCCGCCGCGCCGCCGCCGCCGAGTTGTGAGCGAGCGAGAGACAAGCTCACCTCAGAGTTACGTCAGGACAGGCCGCTCTTTCCCCCTCACGCGCGACACCGAGGCGAGTCGGAGAACTTCCGATCTCGGGCATCTCTTGTTCTCACGTCAAAAAAAAAAATTGTTTTTTTTTTCCGGGGGGTCAAAATCGTCCCAACCGCGGCCTTGTCGAGAGTTTTGAGGAGGAAGAGAAATCACCCAAAAAAAATACAAGCGGCCGTGGGGCGGTGGGGGGGTGGGGGGGAACGAATGCCCGCCCGGCTTGTTTTATTGCATATTTTATATGAAAAATAATTCACTTTGCAAATGTTAGCGGCGCCGCGCCGCCGCAGTGATTCCATCCATCTTGAATTTGACGTCATCCCCACACTAGGGGATGAGGTCATTGCACGGAGCGCGCCGGCGACGTCACTTCCGCTCCCGCCGATTTGCCCTGTCAATCAAATCGGCGGCGGTGTCTCCTCCCTCTACCTCATCCTCACTGGCCACGCCCACCCCTCCCTCCACCCGCCCTGTCAATCAGAACCCGCGCGGTCGCACCACGTGACCGACCTGTCAATCGCCGCCGCCCCCACCCCACCCCATGTCAATCAATCCCCGAGAAACTCTTAAAGGTAACCTGTGTGTGTGTGTGTGGCAAATATCAGTCTACGGATGTAAAATGCATTCATTCTCAGCATTCATTTTTAAAGCGAGGGCAGAACTTACTGAGATGCCCTCTCTCCCTCCCATTCTCTCACTCACTCTGTCTCTCTCACACACACACACAAAACATGCATATGTTAATAATAATATATATATATATACGCACTGCGAAGCGCTTTGGGACGTCTCAACGATGGGATAAGGCACTGTATCAAACGCAAGGATTACTATTATAAATTGTTTTGTTACAATCATAACTCTTGCATTTGATATAGCTTCTATAACATCCAGAACGTAAGTTACACGATCACCACACTTCACAGTAAAATCCTGTGATGCTGTTTGAGACATTGCAACAATGTGATAAGGCACCACCACAACAACAACAACTCGCACTTATATCGTGCCCTCCATGCAGGGTAACATCCCAGAGCACCATGTCAAATGCAATGCTTCATAAAGTTCTGTTAAGTAAAGTGACTGTATAATGGTAGCACAGTCAACAGAAAGCACAGCACTTATTCAGAATCATCTTCCCCTCCCCAGACATATATATTGTATACATATTTCTAAACATTAATGATCAATGGAGGAGAACAATAAGCAATTATTGATACCAAGAAAGACCAAGGTCCATTGAGTTCGCCTTCTTCCATCCTGGCAGATGCTTGCACGTTTCATGTCCCAAACTACGTACTGTATCCCAAGATATTATTTCCTAAAAAATATCTCATTTGCTTTTGAAATAATTGACGCTTCCTGCTTCCAGCGTTTCCCTTGACAGCCTGTTCCATATATTTACTACTTGCTAACTGAAATAGTGTTTCCACAGATTTGTTTTGAATTCATCAAATCTTTAATCACAGGTTATTTCCTCTGATTCTACTCTTCTGGGCAAGATAAAACAGCTTATCATGGTCTACGTTATCCAGTCCCTTTAGAACCCTAAAAACAGGATTCATATCGACTCTTAACCTTCTCTTTTCCAGCGTGAACATGCTCAGTTTACTTAATCGTTCCTCATAGTCCAGTCCCTCCATCCCCTCAATCATTCTGGTTGCCCTCCTCCGTATTCTGTGAATCGCTGCAATATCCTTTTGGTACTGCGGCGACCAGAAATGCACACAGTATTCCAAGTACGGTTGCACCAATGATTTATAAAGCGGCAGGATTACCCCACTATTTGGGCTCCATATTGCCCTGTTAATACAACAGAGATGGATTAGTGTTTCAGGTAAATAACCTTTAGAAACCTTACTGCTGCTATTTTTAGATGAAATTTCAAAGGGTCCGTTGTATTTATGAAAGAAAAGTGAACTAATCTAATACAGGTATATTGAACACACCCACCCCTATAAACGTACCTGGAAACACAATAGTGTGAGTGTATTACCTACTCTTTGCACTGGTTGACACATTTGACTCATGTGAAAAGACGTTTGGTAATGAGTAATGTGCTGTATGTCTGCTGACATCACACTAAGCAAGTTGTGATGATTTCATCATCAACAACAAACTTGCATTTATATAGTGCCCCACAGTCAGGGTAGTGTCCCAGAGCGCTTGACAGTGGCAGAACATGACTCCGGTGGGGGGGGGGGGGGGGGGGGGTACGAAGAACAAAGAGGTGGCATTTTAAAGGAAATATCACTTCACAGAAATACCAGCAGGATCCAAAGTATAAATATATGTTCACAAATGGCTCAGCATTACAGGCTGGCGCTCCAGGGCAGGACTCGGGAAGTGCTGCCTTTTTGGAAGTGTTTTCTTCAGGATGATTTGCTACAGTTTGGATGAGGTTCATTCACTCTATTCACCTGAAACACCTGCAAGATCCTCTCACTCGTCTAACAAATCCCTTCACGCGCTGGCACCTTCCTACCTTCTCCCCACTGCACTACCTGCTGCCACAATCGGCTGGCTCCGGCCCCCTGCTTGTCCCTTGTCCTCTCCGTTCCACCATCGGAGGCCGTGCTTTCAGCCACTATGCCCCGAAGCTTTGGAACTCTCTCCCTCAATTCCTCCGTCTTGCTCTCTCCTTCCCTTCTTTTATATCACGATTGAAGATCTTCTGCTTGGACTGTTCTTACGGTCACCTGTCCCACATAAAGGGAGCTATGTAAATGCACATTATTGTTATTTAAACTTATCTCAGATGCTCCTTCACCTGCTGATATTTTATGTCAGCCTGGCACAGTCAGCAGCACTCTCTGATTCAGAAGATTGTGGGTTCAACCTCCACATCAGGACTTTGAACTCACACAGTCTTGGTTGACACTCCAATGCAGTGCAGGGGGTGCTTTGGATTGTTGGAGGTGTTGAATGAGATATTAAACGGAGGTCCCTATCGCCTGTTCGCAGCACTATTCGAAAACAAAAGAGTTTCTCCCGGTGTCCAGGTCCACATTGCCCCAAATAAAAATGTCCGTTCACTTCATGGCTGTTTGTGGGACATTGCTGTGCAAACATTGGCAGCCCATCTTTTCCTACAAAATACAGTCCCTACACGTTACCGTTAGCCCAATGAAGTACTGTACCAAAGGTGCTTTGTTAAGTGCAAAGATTAGTATTATTTATGAGACGTTATGCTGAGGCCCTGTTCAGTTAAACAAACTGTGACACTATCTGATACAAGAAGGAAATTTCTCCTGTTGTCCTGGTCACGGCTGTTTGTGGGACGCTGCTGTGCATAATTGGCTGCTGCGCTTCACCCACAAATACACAATCAATTCACTTTACAATATATTCTGTGAAGCGCTTTGAGACACTCAAAGACGTGATAAGTCGCTATATCAAATGCAAGAATTATTATATTTTTATCTGGCTCCCATGATTCCTGGGTGTGAAGGTGACCAAAAAAAAGGCGTCAATAGGCACCTTTGTCGTAAAGATTGTGGGTTTAAGTCCCACATTGGAACCTTGACTTGTTGCAGTACTTGGGGGAGCACTGCTTTGCCAGAGACACCATCCTTTGGGTGAGACATTCTGATTTTTTGGGGTCAGACGTGTTGACTGACACATGCAGAAATCCATCACCGTGCTTAAGAGTATCCAAACCGAACTGAGATTTCCAAGCATCCCACATGGAAATCCCAGAGATAGATTGTTGGAATGGAATGCGCACTCTCTCCCTGGAGGGACACATCTTGTTTACCTAATCACGGAAAGTATTAGGCGCAGGTTGGCAAGAGCCAAGGCTTGGGGGGACCCCAGAGTGTGCATTGGAATAACTGCTGGAGTCTAACCAGCTAAAACAGCACAACTTGTCATCGAGAGCGCTGTCTGATCTGGAGGCAAGGGCTTGGATACCAACTCAGTGTACATGTGGGAGAAGGAAATAGACAGGTGTATATAGGAGGGGTAGAGGCTCGTGTGGAATAGAAACACCGGCACAGACCATTTGGCCTGCTTCAGTGCCGGATCACTCTGTGTGACTGTGCAAATGTTTTGCTTGTGGCTGAAGATACACCGATGACAAGCAGGACGTGCTGCGCGGGTAGTGGAAAATGATCTGTCAGAAGCAGTCAGTGAAACACACACAAGCACCAGGCAGCTGATCTGTTTCTCGCACAGACACACACAGACACACACACGCACGCGACAGGTAGGCGTAGGCACATCTCGTTCAGGGCCAGGAACATGAAAGGGATTATTCTTTGCATCTCGATCGCACTCTTCGGCAACGTGTGGAGAGCGTATCCCGAGTTAGCACAGACGAACGGAGTTTCCACTGAGGAGGAGGACCCTCACCTTGGAGAACAGCCGTTACCACCAGGTAAACTCACTGAAAAGCTTCCTATTGTACCAGAATCAGAACTGGAGGAAAACCTGCTTTCATCTCCAACACATTCTACCTTTTTTTTTAGATACAGGTGTTTACTGAACGTTTTTGCTGAGTTTAACCCTCAGGCACCTCAATTCCCTGGGGTGCTGTATGCTTTGTGTTTTGCAATTAACTTTGCCACTGAATTTAGGGGAGTCAGGTTTGATCACACTGTGTGGGCTGAAGGCTGCCAAAGCGGAGGAGATATTGTGGAATTACCCCGAGAAGCAATATCTACACCTTTTTTTTCCTCAGATTGTATGTAACATTAACATTTTTTTTCACAAAGATACCAATGCATTTGGGGAGGTCTGTAGCATGTTGACACGAGTGCTCGCCTCGCAAGCGAGAGGACACGGGTTTGATTCCTGAGTGAGGCAAAATTTTAGGCAAGTTTCGTTACTATACCAAGTGCAAGGATTATTATTTTTTTCGTGGCGATTGATGCGAAGCGCTTTCGAGGCGTTATTCTATGTAAAAGGTGACTGATATCAACGCAAGTAATTTTGTTGATGTGCTTTACACACATCACGTTTTGATGCTATAAAAAGGCATCTTCAGGCACCTGCGTTGACAGTGAGCTTTCCTAT